TCACTGTAGCCTCAGGTTCCCAGGTTCAAGCAATTTTCCTGCCTCAGCCTCCTGAGTAGCTAAGCCACCCAGCTAATTTTTGTATTTTTAGTAGAGATGGGTTTTCACCATGTTGGCCAGGTTGGTCTCGAACTCCCGACCTCAGGTGATCTGCCTGCCTTGGCCTCCTGGAGTGCTGGCATTATAGGTGTGAGCCACTGCGCCCAGCCTCAAAGCTGTTTTTGGAGGAGGCTCCGTGCAGGGAGGCATCGATGTGGACCCAAACTCAAAACACTCCAAAGTGAGACCGACAGACAATGCCAAGTCAGGAAGAGGAGGGACTGAGACTAGAAGGAGCCAGAGAGGAACAGCTAACCCTGCCTTGGGTTTTGGTTCATGGACCAAATGCTGCAATGAGGAATGAGTAAAAGCATTCACTTCTCCATTCTCGGGGTCTCCACTCAGAGCCCCAGGACTGGTGGGCTGCCAGCCGTTCCTCTGGTGCTCCCTGAGATGGGCAGGCTCTTTTCCTGCCATCTGATATTCTGCCATTTTCCCAACATCTTTCTCCAACTAAGCACAGATTGCAAATCACAAAAATGGCCAGGTGAGATGGGGTGCTCACACATGCCTTCAGGATACACAGAGAACAGATGTCTGAATGTATCTGCAAAAGGATCTAGAAGAAAGTCTCAGTAAACTGTGCTACATTCGATGTGGGATGCAGGAGGATGTGGTCTCTGTGAATCAGGAGCTAAAATGAAAAGGCAACAGAGTGAGATCAAAAGGGAAGCAGCTAAGACAAAAGGTGAAAAGGATCAGATACAGAAAACTTACAAAGAGATAGAAAATGTAGTGGAAGATTGACTCAGAGGTGTGAAAAACGAACTGAAATTCTCGAGCAGGACAGAGTAGACCGTGGGGATGGTGAGGATGAGGCGGGCTGCTCTATGGCTGGTCTGTCCCGGAGAGGAACTGACTGGAGCTTGCCAGGAAACATTTCTGCTACTGTCCCTTCACTGGACAACAAATGGCATCTGTCCAGGGCCTGGGTCAAGATCAGATAGAGAACATCAGACACTCTGCCATCAGGGAGGGGACACTGTCAACTGGCACTCTCTGGGACAGGGAGGGAGGACCCACCAGGCAAGCCCATTACAGCTATATATGTGAGGTCACTCCCAGGATCAGACCTAATAGTTATGCTGTGCCCACACTTCTGATGCGGTCACTCCTGTCTTCTGCAACCAAGATAAGAAATTGCCTCTAGAGAGGTGGTATCCGCCCCTGCCCTGCGTCTGGCCTCACCCCTGTGAGAGGGAGTGCTGGCTGACACCTCAACCAAGGCCCTCCTTTGCTGGTGGTTCACAGCCCTGCCCTGGCCCCTCCTGCTTGCTGTTTGGTTTCTAGCCAATTGGACACACCAGCAGGAGGCTGGAGGGGAGGGGAGAAAGAAGCCGAGGTCTTTCTTATTCCACATCCCTGCAGGAGCTCCTGCCCCATGGCACAGCTCCTGCCGGACGACCCCCCACCCAGCTCAGCGCTGAGGATGGCTCCCTCCCTTCGGCCCCAGGGAAGAAACTGACTTCCCATTAGCACCTCCCTCTCAGCTGCCCCCTACTCTGGAAATTGTCACTTCCTTAAAGCTCTTCATGTGAACCATTGGAGTCAAATCTCGGTTTTTTTTTTTTTTTTTTTTTTTTTGAGACAAGATTTCACTGTCACTCAGGGTGGAGTGCAGTGGTGCAATCTGGGCTCAGGTGATCTTCCCACCTCAGCCTCCCAAGTAGCTGAGACTACAGATGGGCACCACCATGTCCAACTAATTCTTGTATTTTTTGTAGAGACAGGCTTTTGCCCTGCTGCCCAGGCTGGTCTTGAACTCCTGGCCTCAAGTGATCCGCTCACCTCGGCCTCCCAAAGTGCTGGGATTGCAGGCATGAGCCACCGTGCCGGGCCTCAAATCCCATTTCTGATGGGCTCTCCGACTGATAATTCCTCCCTACTTACCCCCCACAACTGAGGGTTGGGGCCGCTCAGCATTCCCCACTCCCCCTCCTCCTGACTGGGCTAAGGGCTCTTCGTAAGGCACTAAGAGGGTCTGGATATTGAGGCCTCTCTGATCACCCCCAGGGCGTCCCACCTGTGCAGAACCCTATCACCCACCACCCTTTCGGGGTGGTGACTGTCAGGGGAGACCCTCTTGCTTGTTTGGCGGGGAAGACAGGCTTCCAGACCACTTGCTGTAGGCCTAGTGGTACTGCCCCACCTGGCCAGGGCCCACACCGCCTCCATGGCAGGTGCACCACCTCTGCCTCACGGGTGCTGCCTCTCCACGTGATGTCCTCAGATGGGCTTCATAGACTGGGCCTTTCCTCCAGGCGTGTGTGGGGGCCCAAGGTGGGCTTCCTGGGCCTAGGGCTGTTGGGCCAGGGTTTCCTCATGTCAACAGCTGCGGCACCAGGGACCAAACAGGCTGGGCGACTCCTCCCCGTGGGCTCCCTGACTCCCCCAATGGCTGCGCTGCTGGAAAGGGAACAAGGTCCTCCAGCCCCCGAAACTCTTTTTGCCTCTGTTGCGCTCTGGCCTGCCCAGTCTCATGGCATTTCCCAGGGACTCGCCTACAATTGATCTTTGCTAAAGGCCAAGAGGCAATCAAGGTGTCTTCCCGTACTGCAGAGGTGCCCGTTTTGAGAGGACCGGGACTCCAGGGAGCCCCGCCTGGGCACTATTTCTCCAAGCTGGCCCTGGCTGTTGTCACCTCAGGTGGGAGAGAAGCCACAGGTGCTCCAGGCAGCTTGGAGATTAGAGGCTCCCCAAGAGGAAGGAGGCCAGGACAGAGGCCCAAGCCTGGCAGCTCTCAGGTAACAGCGCCTGGGCCATCCCTGCAGGTGTCAAAACACTTCCTGTTAGTTACTGAATATTCGTCAATCCTTCCGGGCTTTCCCACAGAAATCTCTGGCTGGGACAACATATTCCAGTCGCTGCTGAGGAAGCAGTTGCAGGACTTCAGGTCTGGATGTAAAAGAGGAGGACTGGCTGTATGGCTGTATCCTAAAGCAACAGGCGGAGGGGCTGGCCTTGACAGCGGAGGGCTGTGCTTTTTGTTTGCAGGCAAATAGGCAGGACAAGAGCACTTAGGAGGACAGTGTGTGTAGCTTGGGCCCTAGAGGCCGTATTGACCCAGATTACTGGCAGCCCAGGCACTGACCACAGGGAAAACCCTTCAGCTTCTAGTGGGGGTTCCCTAGATCCCAGAATTCGCCATCCCTTCTGCCTCTGGGACTTGGGAAGACGTGCCTGCCTCACCGCCAGCAAAGCTGGCAGTGTCACCTCCTGACACCCCCTGCTCCCTCCCTGCTGTGTAAGGGGTCTGCAGACAGCACAGAGAGCTGGGGCACTCACTGGCGAGGCTCGGGTGCTGGAGCCCACAGTGTCAGTGATGCGGGCCCCTGATCTTCCAGCCACGGAGGTGGGAGTGGGACAGAGGAAGGTAGCCATGCCCTGGGTGGCTTCCATAGGTGTCCCCAAGGAAGGAGGACTGGAAATGTCCTCTGGGGCTCCTGTGGAAGTTGAGAGAACCTGTGAGGGAAGTTGTAGAAGCTGGAACATGTCTTGTCTTTCGTGTGTGTGTGTGTGTGTGTGTGTGTGTGACAGTCTTATTCTGTTGCCGAGGTTGGAGTGTAGAGGGGAGATCACAGTTCACTGCAGCCTTGGCCTCTGGGGCACAAGCAATCCTCCTACCTCAGCCTCCCCCTGAGTAGCTGGGACTACAAGTGGGCACCATTGTGCCCAGCTAATTTTTTATTTTTTGTAAAGATGGGGGTCTTGATAAGTTGCCTTGGCTGGTCTCGAACTCCTGGGCTCAAGTGATCTGCCCACCTCGGCTTCCCAAACTGTTGGGATTACAGGTGTGGCCACCGTGCCCAGCCAGGAACATGTCTAAAAGGCAATTTCTCACCTGGGCAATGTCACTGTGTTGGCTACTCACACACTCGAGAGGTTGCTGCTGGAGGGCTACCTGGAACAAAGGTCCCAGGGCTCAAACACCCACAGAAAGACCAGGTGCCACTGGCTACCTCCTCAGTGGGTTTTCCTCTGGTGCCTGCAGACCCACGTGCACAGGGCATCCCTGCTCCCAATTCCACTGAGCAGGGTGCCCTCAGTCCACTGATGTTACTGGCCCAAGAGGGTATGTCCCCACCTTCCCCTAACAGGGGCAGATGACAGGGAAAGCTGCACAGGGCTGTCATCCAACCAAGCGTGTGGTGAGAGTACCTCGGAATTATTTTGAAGTTTCCTGCTGGTTTTAGGAGAAGAGATTCTAATCTAAATTATGTTCATAAATTCTAAATTATATTCATAATTCCACACTCATAGCTCCATGGGGCATAAGAAATGTAGTTGTTAGTGGCTTCAGGTGAAAAGAAAACCCACAACCCTCCCACAAAGCACAGCACACCACAGATATGAAATTTGATAATGCTTTTTCCTTCTCTCCGAGGTCTTGGCTCACAGCTGACCATGGCATTCGTTATGAGGCAGGAACTACCCGTCCTTCTAGCAGGCAGAAACTACCATCCATTCCAGACTTTGTGAGCAAGTCTAGAAAACAGAGTTGCTGAGATTTGTAAGGTGATCTGGCCAATTCTGCAAGATATGCAGAAACCTTCTAAATCTCCCCTAAACAGAGAGGGAGTTAGCAGCTATTTCTTCCACTAATAGCAGAAGATGGAGTAGAATTTACAGGACCCTAAGTCAGCTGAATTCAAAATTAATTTTTTTTTGAATCAGAGTCTCGCTCTGTTGCCCAGGATTGGGGTACAGTCTGTGATCTCGGCTCACTGCCACCTCCGCCTCCCAGGTTCAAGCGATCCTCCTGCCTCAGCCTCCCGAGTAGCTGGGGTTATAGGCACCTGCCACCACACCCGACAATTTTTGTATTTTTAGTAGAGATGGGGTTTCACCATATTGGCCAAGCTGGTCTTGAACTCCTGACCTCAGATGATCCACCCACCTCAGCCTCCCAAAGTGCTGGGATTATAGGTGTGAGCCCTCGCACCCAGCCGTTATTAATTTAATTCATAACATCTGACTTCCTAGCAGTCAGGTGTTTGAGCAGAGCTTCCTGACCTGGCTGAACTGGTCAGAATCACTTGGACAAAACTTACACAGCTAGTCCTGTCAGATTCGGTAGATCAGAGGGTGGAGGGAGCAGGAATCTGTATTTTTAGCAAGGCCTCCAGGGGATTCTGACACAGAGAAATCCAGAATTGAATATCTGGCTGTCACATCTATCTGGAGGCAAACGCCTTCTCTTCGCATTCTCCCTCTGTCTCAGCCTAAGTCCTAAAAAATAAAGGCAACAAGTAAATAAAGACAGTTTTCAAGATATTCATGGAATGACTTTTTTTTTTTTTTTTACATGTTTTCAACTAGTTAGGACAAAAACATTACAACGATTGACTTCTTTCATTTAGTTACATAAATAAAATTTTTATAAATATCTCTTTATAAACAATATAAATAGCTTTACAACATAAATACATTTATGCATGACATGAATTTACAAACAGCAATGTTTTACAGCTGGTTCTGTCAGTCTCTTAAAAACTGTCCCTTGTCATCAAGTCGGTGTAGGTGTGTGTGTTTCATGTATATAATATATATATAATATATAACTTTTTATTTTTCATTAAAAAAAACAAATAATAAAATCACAACCCCCTCCCCAAATAATAATAAAACAGCTGGTGTTGTGTATTCCCAGTACCAGGAAAAAAAGAAAGAAAGAAAGAAAGAAATGTAAAAGCCACATTGCGTTGGAGGTGTTTCCAGATGCTGGAGCTGATGACCAAAGGTGACCTCAGCACAACGGAGCCAGTTCCCAATCCTGAAACACAGAGTGAACACAGACGCTCAGTTCTGGCCCCTTAGCTGAGAAATCCTAGCAGGCAGGGTGGTTCTAGAACCTTTCCTCCCCTTCCCCTAGCAGCTTGAGGGATGTCCCCCAACCTCTGCACCCCCCAACCCACCAGGCCTTCCTGCAGAGGGGAAGGGCCTCCCCCTACACACTCCCCAGGCCCCTTCTGCTTTGCTGCCCCAGCACAGGTGGAACCAGAGTGTCTGCAGCCTTCCTTTTTCCCCCAGTCTAACCACAGGCCTTGCCCTTGGCACTCAGGGAGGCGCAGTGAGAGAAAGAGAATGGAAAATCCCCCATCCTTTTTGCTACAACACAAACCCTCAGTCAGTGCTCGCCCTGGGTTCGTGTGTCTGAGTGACTGTGGATGGAAGGAGAAGGGAGACATCTCAGGATCAGGAATCCTGGGCTCAAATCTCTACTCTGACATTGACTCCCTGGATGACCCTGGATAGCTGGGAGTGTTCACCCATAAAATAGGATAATAGCCACCTCCCAGGGCTGGCTTTTGGATTCAACAGGGAGCCTCGGATTGGGCATCGGCAGTGTCTGGGTCTCAGCCACCACCCAGTAAACAGCACCTCCTTCCTTAGCTGCTTGTGCAGAGGAAAGGGTGTGGGTCCAGGTCCCCTTCAGAAGCAGAGGAAATGGTGTCTCACACCAGCCTTGGGGAAATGCATAGTCATGGGCTCTGAGTTGAGCGTTGTCAGGGAAAACTCCCTGCTAATGGGTGTGTGGGTGCCCCGGGGCCCAAGGAAGGTGGCCTTCTGGGGCATTCAGTGCCCTCCCAAAGGACAGCATGCACAGAGGGGACCTGGGCCAGAATGGCTTGATGAACCCTCCCCCACTCCCTTCTCTGGCCCTGCCATGAGTTTACACAGATGACAGCTGTCTGTGATGTTGCTGGGCCCCAGGGGCAAAGTATTCATTCAGGTTTCACCCACAGCTGGTCTCTGTCATTAGCATTTTACAATCAACACCTAGAACCATCAGCGACCATCATTATGGTGGCTTAGAGCCCGAGTCACCCCCTGCGTGGAGAAACAGCCACAACCTCAAAGAGTTTTCATTACTGTGACAAATGCAAGCTGCCTTTCCCTTTAACCCCAGTGATGTATCCTGGCATCGCCACCAGGAGCCTGCAGTAAGGATGTTCTGCTCCCTCACTGGGAGTGGGGGGCAGTGAGGGTAGGGTTTTTATTTTTCATTTAAAAAACCCAAATAATAAATCCACACCCCCCTTCCCAAATAATAATAAAACAGCTGGTGTTGGGCATAAGCCGGTGTTGAGGATGTTGATGATAAGTGTTCATCTATGCTAAGACAGCTAGTAGGAGATTAATGAACCCCCCTGATCAAAGGGGTTGAGAATTCTTAGCAATGTGGATTCCTCCTACACAGCATCTTTCACCACCCGTCTGGTCATCACTTGGTGACCACAGACAGCCAGGCCCAAGAACAAGGCCCCATGGGAATGTGCATTCCAGGTACGAACCCATGGAAGAGTTGCTAACATTTGTTCCGGTTCTAAAGTTTGAACTTGATGCTTAAATCAAACTGAAAATTTGAGGCCTCAGACTCCGTCTCTTTGTTGTTTAGACAGGAGAGAAGAGAGGAAAGGCATTCCAAGGGTAGCTACTGAAGGCTGGTCCCCAAGTGTCAGAATCATTTTTCTCCCTGTGCAGGGGAGAGTCAAGATCACAGACAACTGCAGCCTTTGCAGAACTGGGGAGAAGCCCACAGCCGAGGGAGGTCTGGCTGCAAAGAGAGGAAGGGCTCTGGTTAAGACCTAGGGCAGGTGGGAGTGGCCACGGGCTAGGGTGTGCTGGTTTCTCTGGTCATTGACAAATATTTCTGAGTCTGTACGGGGTGCAGTGGGTCCTAGAGTACCTTAGGCCAGCACTTGGCCCTTAAGCTGTTCAATACGGGGAGGTGAATGGGTTCACAAACTGTGAAAAAGTGTTCTGTACTGTGAAAAAGAGAGTGTGCTGGGGAGGCGCTCTTGTTTCCCTCCGGGGGAAGACCCAACACTGACAAGGGTTTCTGGGGTGGAGACAGCAGCTTTCCCATGGCCTGGGATGGGACAGTCAAAGTGTGGGACAGGCAGTGGCAGCTGCTGAGCTGGAGGCAAGAAAGGGAGAAAGCCGAGTGAGCCTGATCCTAATGCACATGACTGTCAATGTCAGAGGCTGGGATGCTGTTATTCAGTGGGCACAGGCAGGCGGCAGGAACAGAGAGGAGGGAAAGAGGAGAGATGAGGCTCTCTGCAGCAGTAAATTACCACCATGCGGCACCCGGCAGCGGGTGAGGGTAGGGCAGAGGTTTCCAGCCCTAGTGCGGGGTGAGATCCCACAACAGAAACGGAGCCCAGAGCACCGGTTGGGCAGGGGACAGGGTTGGTTGAGGGACTCTGGGACATGTCGAGTTTGAGGGTGGGGCAAAAAATATTTACTTTAGTATCTTTTCTATTCCCTGAAATAGTGCCACAAGCACTGAGATTCAGCCCTGAAGCCACCGGGCTGCAGCTCCCCGGACAGACCAGTTTGCCCACTGCCTGGGTTTAGAGAAGGGACAGAAATCGGAGTGCCCCAGGCAGAAGGGCGCCCTGACGGTGCCAACAGAGGGCTACTCTCGCTACAGGGGGCATGGTGGCCGGCAGATGATCAATGTCCCCTGGACTTGTGGGTGTAACCTTCCTTCTCTGCTCCCACAAACCCATGATCTCCCCTCAATCCCCCCACCAGCTGGCCAGCTGGGGCCAATGCTGCAAGTTCAGCTAAGGTGCAGGGGTGGGTGAGACACCACCAAGCCTGTTTCTGCTTCTCTAGAAGAAGCCTGGTGGGTTCAACCAGGCTGAGCCATTTCTGACCTTGCCAGAGTTCCCCGATCACTTTATCCTTCGCTTTCTTTGTCTGTAAAGGGGGATAATAAAGGGGGCGGCCGGCAAACGCCTGGCACAACTTGAGCAAAGCCGGGCCGGGCTGGGGCTGGGCGCGGGGTCGGCGGTACTCACCGCCGCCAGGGGGCGCCGCACTAACATCCCAGGCCGCTCATGGAGCCGATTCGGTCCAGCTTGAGGCCGAAGCAGCCCTTGGACAAGCCCTTCTTGTTGGCTCCTTTGTATTTGCGCGCGTTGGGGTGCTCGTGCAGAAGGCGGGCCCACGCTGCCCGCGACTTGGTGTCCACGCGCAGGTCCCGGAGCAGTCGCGATCGGTCGCCCTTGAGGTTGGCACCCCCGCCCCCGGGAGCCTTGTCGCCCTTCTTCTGACCGCCGCCCGCAGCCTGCGGCTCGGCCAGCTCCTCTCCCGGCGGGGTTCGCGGGACCTGTCCGAAGAAAGAGCGGGCAGGTGAAGGCACGCGCGGCTGCAGCACAGGGGACTCTGATGCTCCAGCCCCACGCGCCCGCCGGCGCGGGGGTGTCCCTCCTGAGCCCAGAGCTGCCCCCACCGATGCCAGCCAGTTTGGCCCCGCATCCACCTGCCACGCGGCCGCCTTCTCCGCTCCCTCCGGAAGCCCCCTGCCCTCCCCTCCTTTGCTGCTCGCCGGGCAGGCCACGCTGGGGCAGGGGGCTGCGCACGGGCCAGCGTTCTCCGGAGGCTGGGGGAGTGGACCCGCGAGTCCGCGCTTCCAGGGCTCCCCGGCTCTCGCCCACGCGCATCTCGGAGGAGAGAGCCGCCTGCCTTCCCTCTCTCCTGGGTCCTGCGCGCCGCATTCTCCAAGCCCCCAGCCTCCCACGACTCTCTCAGGCTCGGCGTCCCCACGACAGCACCCACCTTCGGCGGCGCCCCGGGCTTGGCTTCGGAGGGCCGGAGTGAGAGCAGCGTGAGCAGCAGGGCGCAGGCCAGCAGCTGGGAGAGATGCATGGTGCCGCTGGGGTCTAGGGGCGCAGACGGGCGGCAGCGACGGCGCGCGGGTCGGCGGGCAGACCAGCAGGCTGGTGCGGAGCAAGCTGGCTGGGGCTGCAGGGCGAGCAGGCTCCCAGTGCTGCGCGGCGCCGGCTGGGTGCGCTCTGAGCCCGTGACTCCGCTCGCGCCTTTATAATCCAACCTGCCGCTGATGTCATCCTCCCGCCCACCGGGCTGCCCGGGCCAATGACACCACGCACGCGGCCGCGCCGAGGGCCGGGAGGGGTCCGCGGGGGCTCCCCTCCCTTATCCCACCCCGGAGGGATCCCGCGGTTCGGCCGGCTAGCTCCGGGCTGCACTTGGAGCTGCAGAGCGGCGCGCACAGGGGAACTCCATTTGCAGCGAGCGCGCGCCCTGGCCTGATGAGCATCCGTGCGCCTGGTGCCCTGTGCACCCGCTGGGTCCTCACTACACTCACTCTGCCTAGAAGGGATCTGTAGCTCTCTTTGCAGGTGCAAAGACAGGCTCACAGGAATCAAATTACTTGGCCAAAGTGACACAGGCAGAAAGTTGGCGCTGCCCGAAATCCACGAAGCCCTGCTGGTCGCCAAACTCTTCCCTGGGCACCTGACAGCCGCGGGATGGGCATTGCAGCTCCGCCTCTCACCTGCTCGCCAGGGCGGGAGCGCAGACCACACAGATGTCGTTAGGTTGGGGAGGTAGAGGATGGGGTTGGAGGACTGGGGTGGGAGGCACAGGGAGAGCGGGGTTCGCCTGGGCCGCGGCGGGGAGCGCAAGTCTTCCGCACCGGAGAGTGCAAGCGTGTCGCTAACCTGAGTGTTTGACCGCGAGGCGGGAACGAGGGGACTGCGAGCGCGGAACCAAGATATTCATGTTCATGCGTGTGCTCGGCGGCATCGTGTGCTCGCCAGTTATGGCTCTAGGTTCACATTCAGCCGGTTTCGGCTACAAAGAACGTCCCGGGTCTGACTCCGCTGGTGAACTCCGTCTGTGGGAACAATGCGCACCTGACCTTGCCTGCACCCACGCGAGGATCAGCTGCTGGGGGAAGCCCGCTCCAGTATCCTGTGCACTTTCACAGGCTGGGGAGGGAGCTTCCTAACCAGCGGCCCGGTCCAGCCTCTGCCAGCTGTGACAGGTGGCCAACTTCCCACTGTTGACTGTAGGGAGGTCCTCGGGGCTCTCGGGACACGGCCACATATCCCTACCACTCACATATCCCTACCACCACATATCCCTACCACTCACATATCCCTACCACTCACATATCCCTACCACTCACATATCCCTACCACTCACAAACTTGCTCTCCTTGCACTGGGCTTCTTGGTCCCTTGGGCACTAAGGAGTGTGGTGGGCACTTGGGCACTGCGGTGTGGGCCACAGAGGCGGAGAGCCCAGATCCCCCAAATTGAGTGAGGTGCATGAATCTATGACTGGCTGCTGCTGAGCAGGACGCAGGCTGGAGAGAGAACAAATGTTGCCTCCGGAGTGCAGTGGCTGTCCCCAGGCGTGAAGAGGATTCCGCGGAGACAGTAGCCCAGACGAGCTTTTCCAGGGAGAGGAAGCTGTGCCTGAGGCAGGAAGGCAGCTGGAGTGAAGAGGGGTTTTGAGCACCAGGTTCTCTCCAAACCTCCCTCTTCCCTCCGTGGTAGTGAGCCTGGTCCCAGAGCTGCTAAGGCAGTGGCATCGTGGTCTGCTCTGTAGGCCCTTTTCTCAGGCTACCCCTTCCCACTCTCATACCCTGACTCACAACATTGGAGCAACCACTTCACAGGTCCTTTTGCTTAGGAAACAGCTAACACCTGAGGTCTGAGTTTGGGGCAGCAAAGTTTCCTGATCTCCAGGAAGATCCAGACATCAACATGGCACCTTTTGTGGGTTCTGGTGAGTTGACTCACCACCTCCACGCAGCCCCCCAATTCCTCTCTGGGCTAACAGCCATAGAGTGGCACCACTCTTTCATTTGAGGAGAAAGGAAGAGAGGAACAAGAAGGTGGAGTAGGGAGGGGCATCCAGGTGGGCTGTGAAAGTTCCCTCTGCTTTTTGCCTGCTGTGCAAAGAAGGATGTTACTATTTGGAACTTCTCTGACACTTACTTTCTTTATACCTGTTTAAAGAGCCACGCAGAGCCACACAGATTGACTCCAGAGTCAAGCACTGGGCTGGTTTCCAGGGGCCAGCAGTACATCCTCTAAGGCCTTATTAAGGGCATGTTGGAAGCTTCTGCTGTTCATGGCTGCTTCCTTCTGCCTGAACGTCCTTAGGCTGGTCCTTCCTGTCTTCTATGTTCCTAGATACATTCTCATCCAGATGATTGCCCAGTGACTATCTAGGTCTCCTCTCTTTTTGAGTTTTGAGGCTAAATTAGTAAAACTGACACCCCCAACCTACTGTGGCAGAGCTGATTCCCTGGACTCATCTTCCCCTCTTTGGAAGGGAAATCTGGTGAGCTGCCACTCCTGACCACTGGGCGGTGGTCATCTGCAGAGGGAGGCTTCCCTAGGGCAGGCTGTGGATCAGCTTCTACTTAGCTGGGGCCTGGGAGGTGGGGTGGGTAAGAGTCAGAGGCCTGGGCTGGAGGGGCTGCTGGGAGGTGTGTCATCAGCACATAACTGTCTTGGAGATGAAGATTTCCCCTCTCCCTTCGCTTTCCTTGCCTGGGGAACCGCAGAGGAGGCCCCCTCTTCCTCCTGAGCCTAGATTTGGAACTCAGGCCCCTTCTTGCTGCTTTTCCCTCATGAAGTCTGCTGCTTCTGCCCCCAGGCCCCAGGGGCATGGCCTGGGAAAGTTGAACTCACTGAGCAGCTGAATATGAGCTCTTCAAATCATTTTATTGACTGCTCAATTTTAAATTTCTTCCTAATGGCAAAAGAGGGAGAAAAGGTCCCAAGGCCCCGGTAATTCTGTAAGGAATCCTGTCATTTTCACTGATCTCGCTGATCTCCCGGTATCTACTGAGCATCCCTGAAGCCTGCAGGGTTCCATCCCAGCCAGGAAGAACCCCCCAGGAGAGAGACATGAGCTTTGTAGGCTGAAAAGGACAATGACAGGGAAGGGGACAGCTCAGGCTGAGGCCACCCAAGGAGGGCTCCTCCTCCAGCCTGGACTAGCAGGGTGGGCTTCCTGGAGAAGGAAAAGTCTGTGCTGAGCCCGGAAACACAGGAAGAGAAGGGAAGAGAAGAGGAAAACCTCGATAGAAAACCAGGCTAACAGTGGAATGTACTAGAGTCAGGCCTAGAGGGGTTCTGTTTGAGAAAAACAAAATGAGACACCTCACTAAAGGCAACACAAAGGGCAGGGGAGGCCGGGGAGACTGCAGAATCCCACGTGCCCAGACCTAGGGAGGGTGGAGTGCTTCAGGCAGGGGTGCCCAGAGGAGGCAGGCTGGGGAGAGGCAATTCTGAGGTCGGTGGTGTTTTGGAGGCAGGGGGTGTGATGGAGAGAGGGGAACCTGCTGAGCTCTTGGGGGTGGGAAGGGCAAGTGAGCTTATTGGGGGTGCCTGAAGATGAGGCAAGGGAAAGGGGGTCAGCTAGGTGTGGGGGGAGTGGGAGGGCGCAGGACGTGGGAGACAGAGCCAGCCTGAAACATGCAGAACCTTCAGTGTCAGAGGGTTGCATGGGTGAGTCCAGGGTGTCGGCTCTGCCACAGTAGGCTGGGGGCATGCAAGGCCTTCAGCATCGGAGAGATGCATGGGTGGGACCGTTTTCTCCCTTCTGGTCCTCTGAAGGGCGGGACCTCATTCTGTAGGTCCCTCTTCACTCTTTCTCTCCTCCCAGAAGGACAAGGTGCGACTCTCACACCTACTGGAGAGGGGCCCTTCCTTGGGACAGGTGATGTCTGGCCCGGAATCAGGACGTGATGGAAAATGAGAGTGGGCCCTGGTCAGGATGCCTGGTGGGAGAAAGGTGTGTGGAAGGGCTGCTGGGAGGCTGGGGAAGGAGCAGCTAAGACAGGACTGTCCAGCCTAGGTCCCCAGGAGGGAGGAACAGGAGCCCCGCGAAGCAGCGCCCCCTCCTGGCCCCAGGGCTGCAGGGGAGGGCGCTCAGGCACACTGGAGAGGAGGATTGCAGAGGCGCCCATCTGTTTCTCTGCAATTATTTATCCCAGGGCCTCCTTCCAGCTGCATAATTTCTCAGAGAAGACACTAAACAGGCAGTGAGCAGGTCTTGAGGCCAGGCAGGGAAATTGCTGCGGGACCCTGGCCAAGTCCTGTCTCTGCGTGGGGCCCTTAGTTTCATCACCTGTAATTAGAAAAACACCGTCTTTGCCTTCTAGACACGGCAGAGTGAATCTGGGGCCTGATAAGAGGCTTCCAACCTCTCCCTGGCCAAACACAGCAGGAAGCGGCTGAGGCGGAAGAGAGATCTGAATGTCACTGCATGTACACTTGTACTTCTGGGTGGGAGGACCCCTGCAGTCTCCGAAATTTCCCAGGACTGTTTAGTGGTGCAGCCCCTTAGAGGACACAGAGGCTGGGCCATGGCCAGGTCTCCTTGAGCTTGGTATACTTTCCTCCAGGAGTTCTGCACCCATGGGGCTGGACTGGAGTACCAGAGGAGCCAGAGGCCAAGGAAGCGTCATTCATCCTTCACAGGCCAGAGATTCCAGGAAAGCTTAACCTCGTTGTACCATGAGTCTTTGACCCCAAGACACCCCCATCTGATGAGCCAGCTGCCCTCCTTCCCTTTCCCAGGGGCCCTGCCAGCACCTGCTCCAGATGGCCTCCAACCCCACTGTCCTACGCAGTCCATGACGTCAGAGTTCATTCCTCCTTTCCCCTGCTTGCCAAAAAGAAAAGACAGGTCCTCCACAAATAGGCTCAGTTCCCTGGGGGAATCAACAGCTCTCCATCTGGCTGTCAACGGGCAGGTGAGTGGGGCAGGGACTGAGGCCTCAGCCCTGAGAAAGTGAGCAGGGTAGTGAGCAAGAGGCCTCCCCAGCAGAAAAGAGCTCAGCACCCCAACCTCAGCTTAGAGCCTGCACCAGATGTTTGCAGAGCAAACGGATCTGCTGCCAAATTCTTGCCCTGGGGACAAGAGATTGTCTTGGCTAGACTCTGGTAAAATGTTGGTCATATGGAGCTTTTCCAAGCAGTGAGCCACTCTTTTTCTGCTCCGGGGGTCCCTGCAGTGAGCCCACCTTCTTGGTCTGTACCTGGAGGAGAATGTCTATTGTCTGGTCTTGAAGA